TTGAAAATAATTCAGGTATCTGTGGGCCTTAACATACCTATGAGAGCCAGAATATGCTTACTCTATGGGAAAAGGGTCGCTCTAGACTTCTTGCAAAGGATCATTTGAGAATATGGAAGGTGTCTTCAGGTCAACTTTGCCTCCTAGTAACCTTATAAACAATAGATCCGAGTCCTGTCCTGTCCTGTCCTGCTCTGCCCTCTCCCTCTCTGACAGGCTCCAGTCCACGGCTGCGGTCACTCTATCTACCTCACAGAGGGCCTTCCTCTCCGTCTCTGACACCTTCCCCAGCAGGGTGTCCACGACATAATCAATCCTCTTGTGGAATTTATATGATGGCCCCTTTAGCCAACAACCTCACTGGTGTTAGAAAGAACAGTAGCTCTGCTTCCAGCACCCCAGGAGAGGCGGGTCCCCACAACCTGACACACAGATGAACAGATGGCCCTTTGCTAAATAGTTGGCACAAGATGGACCCCTGCCTGCGGTGAATACAGAAAGTTCCTGTCCACTGTCTGCACTGTGTTTAGAACATTTGAGGTCACGATTCTGTTTTAAGAGTCAGACTTGGGCAGCTGATCTCCATGCCCAGGGTCAGCCAGCGTCTGGGGAAATGATCAGAAGAGTGGTCAGCTTATCAAGTTCACCTCTGAATCAAAGACAGCATTGGTGGTGGTGGTGTTACAGGCCATGGAGTCACAGAGACTCTATGTACAATAATTAACTCAGAACCCTACACCATCTGGAGCCAAGTTCATTGTCTCTGACACACCTGCCCCCATTGCCCCAGTCACTGGGTCAATCCATCTCATTCAAGGTCATCCTCTCCTACGCTGTCCCTCCACCCTTCCAAGTATGACATCCCTCTCCGAGGACTGGTCCCACCTTGCAACATGTCCAAAGTACGTCAGAGCTTCAGAATCATTGATTGTCCCTGCCGAGAAATAGTCCCAAACTGGCAGTTGAAAGCCTTTTTTTTGTGCGTGTACCGTCAAATCAGATCTGACTGGTACAGAAGGGAAATGTTCCCTCCTTCTCCGGCAGAGCATCAGGTGGATTTGAACCGTGTACCTCTGGGATTGTAGTACAGCTTCTTGCCACTAGGCCACCAGAGCTCCCCTTGAAAGTCTTTTTAAACACGAGGCCAAATGCAGTCAGCTTACACCCTGTTGCGAGCAAAGCTACAGCCTAGTTTCAACCCCAAACCAGAAAACACACCTTTACAGGGTCTTTTTTGGCTCGTCTTATCAGCCTGGAAATAGGCCCCAGGCATGTTTTTATAGATTTATATTCTACACATTTTGCTTGGCTACACAGTCAACACTCTTGGTTCCAGCAGCCAGGAAATCAAGAGATGAATTGCATTGGGAAAGTCAGCTGTGAGGGACCTCTCAAGAGTACTGAAGAGCAACGACATCAGGCTAGAGACTAAGGTGTTCCTGATCTGGGCTATA